GGTGTATTAAGTTAATTGAATAAACCATATAAATTAGATGGTTATACTAAGAGTGTTCCTTTTTTTTTTTTTTGCTGTTTATCATCACTTTTTCTTAAAAAAGAATTTTTTTTTTTTGAGAAATTATACCGGGGAATAAATGGAGAAAAAAAAGGAAAAACGGAGCATGAGATTCATTGGATTTACGGCGGAAGGGGATAAGTGGTAACGCTGAAAACAAGCAACAAAAGTATCCCTTTCGCTAATTTGTCATGGATTCTTCTTTGTCTTACTCTTCCTTCACCTTGACAGTTTCAAAAATTAATTCAAAATTTATAGATAAAATTTCCGACAATTTGTTTCATTTTCTTTACGGTTTTGCTGCAGGACAAAAATACTGGTTTTAGTTGATTGATAAAGTAGAAATTTCTTTTGACAATATCAACAGGTACAATGAATGATGACGGTGATGACAATGACTACGTATATGATCATATTTATGGGGTTATGATTATGATTATGTTTATGATGACGATGACGATGGATGACGATGATGTTGGTGACGATGACAATTACGATGACGGTGGTAATTATGGTTAAGTTGGCGGCGGAAAGAAGTGTTAAGACTGTAATGAAGATGTGAAGTCAAAATGTTTGCTTTGCAGACGTTGTTCCAATTCGCTACTATCTGTCAAACGCTCCGTTGATGCTGAACTTCTGAAATGCAATTGATGACAATTTGTTCAACGAGTTGCAACAGCTAACTGTGAAATTAAGTGTACCAAGGAATAAGTACTAAGGAGAGATAAAGTTGTTTCCTACGCTGGACTGTCTCCCCCCCCCCTCCCTCAAATTTGCCCGTTTTCATTTTTCAATCGTTCCTCTTCTACCTCTATAGCTTTGCCTTCCCGTAGACAACCCCAACGGAGAAGTGTGAGCTAATTAAAAGCAGGTTGAAGACGAAGCGGAGAATAAATGACAGAAATCTTTAGTGCAATTACGTGTTAAAACAGTTATTAACGATGCTTTGTCGTTAACTATACGGTGTCATTCCAAAAAATGTAAAGCATCAAACGATCGTTTTTGTTGGTATATACCCATTGTTTTCAAATGTCACTTTTCGATGAAAATAATACCATGAATAGTTTGCTTCTACTTTGACTTGCTTTTTTAAAGACACTTCGTTTGGAACTTACGTGACTTCATTTCCATCTTTTGATCTACACTTCTGCAGTGCTTTTTTTAAGGAATACTTAAGGTAGAGCATGAAACATTGTCACCGTACTACTGGGCTTCTTGCGTTATTCTTTTTTTGAGTTGGCATTTATTTTTGAAGAATAGATCACCAAATTTATGTTTCCCCAAATTTTATTCAGTGGTGAAGTTACCTGTCAGTAAAAAAGCGGAAAAGCAAAAGTTTCCACACAGATCTCTTAAGGTAAACAGCGATAAAGAGAAAAAAATTGAAAAAAAAACTGTATAGGTTGTTTTCAGGGTTTTTATACTCGCAACCAAAGTTAACATAGCTAATAAATCTATAGAAATTTTGCACATAGAGTGTTAAGTGTAATCAGCCCAGATAATGCTTTGCAAGCCGGATTTACAAACTTGTAATGTTCAATCTTTGGTGTAGAATTTGGGACAAGGTACAGTATGAAGTATTGAAAAATTTTAGCTACATTTTTTAATGGTGCAGTTTTATGATACTTCTTTTGCGAAAATAAAATAAAATAAAATAAAATAAAATGAAAAAGATGTATTTTAAAACTCTAAATACTTTTTCTTTTTTTTTATATATTCGCCAATAATCTCTGCAAAAATCCTCTAGCAAAACTTCACCACACTCAGTGAAAATTGGAAAAAGGATAAAAAGGAATTTTGTGGTGAAGAAATCAAGCTTTGAGCAAAAAAAAAAAAGATAAAGGAAA